CCCCCGCCCCACTGCCCCCCCACCCCCACCCTGGGCATGACTCAGAGCAGCCCTGGGGCTGCTGCTTATAGCTAGATTCAGAGGAAATGAGGTGGAGGTCTGTGTGGTTTCCAGGTCTCTTCCTGAGAGGCCTGCTGGGCCCCAGGCTCTCTGTGCAGATTGGGTGGCTACAGGGCATAGGGCTTTGGGACTCAATGGCTGTAGTGGTTGGAGAGAGTGATATTAGGGAGATGAGGATACTGGGGGTAGGGGCTGAGGAGAGGGAAGGAAGACCCAGACATTGTAAGGGAGTTTTCAGACTCAGACAGATCCTGCCCAAACACTAATATGCAGACATTTGATTCTGCAATCTCCTAGTTCTGTTTAAGTGTGTTTTCCATGTCCTTCCTCCTAAAAGTGCCACTTGGTTTAGAGTAATCCTGTTATCTGTGATGGTTAATTTTATGTCTCAATATGGCTAGCCCAAAATCCCCAGATATTTGGTCAAACACCAGTCTAGATGTTCCTGTAGAGGTATTTTTTAGATGAGATTAACATTTTAAATCAGTAGACGCTGAATAAAACAGTTTATTCTCCATAATGGGCGTGGGTCTCTTCCAACCACTTGAAGACGTTAAGAAACAGACTGAGGTCCTTTGAGGAAGAGGGAATTCTGCCTCCAGGCTCAACTCTGGAATTCTGCAGCATCAGCTCTTCCCTGGGTCAGCAGCCTGCCGGCCTGCCCTACAAATTTGAGACTTGCCAGCCCCCACAATTGCATGAGCCAATTTCTTAAAATAAATTCTCTCTGTGTCTACACACACGCATGCACACACACACCCCAATACCTTATTGGTTCTGTGGTTCTGTTTCTCTGCAGAACTCTGATGAATACATTATCAAAACCCCAAATCAGGATGTGTCTTGAGAAAGGATTTGTGGGCTATTTTGGGGAACAAGAAAAAAACTAGGGGCAGTAGCTTTGACATAAAAATATTAGAATTTATTTTGATTGTCTAATTGTCCTAAAAAGTAGCATTTTTATTCAGGACTACCTTAGAAAATAACAGCTATAGGTTCAACATATTCATTGTATATGACAATTTTTTCCAATTGTCATAGCTTTAATTTTGCTTCAAGTATTTCACAGCATCTCTCAGGATAAGAGGAGAGACTTTGGGGCATCACTGTCTAGTAGAATTTTATAGATAGAAATGATGATGAAAATGTTCTATAATTTTGCTGTCCAATTAAGGTAGCCAGTAGCTACCTTTGGCTTTGAGCACTTAAAATGCAGCCAGTGTGACTTGAGGAGCTGAATATTTAATTTTATTTCATTTAAATTAGTTTTAACTTAAATTTAAATAGCTTCACATAATTAGAGAATATTGTAACGGACAGTGCAGCTATGGAGAGCTACAGAAGTGGGATTGGTCTTAGAGTTGCCAGCTCAGTTTCCAAATACATTGGTTGAGGAGGAAGGAAGCCTTGGGAAATGCCTGCAGGACTATCCCCCAGCCTGGTTAGCAACTGTCACTCTCTTAGATTTTCTCCTTTACGTGGTTGTTTAATGTTGACTGCTAAAATGTAAGCTCTACAAGAGCAAGGTCTGCCTGGATGGCTTACAGGGAGGCCTGGTATACGGCAGGCACTCAATGACACTTGATGCTGTTTGGAGCGGCTGGTCAGGAAGGCCCTGGGCAGCCTGGTGGTGCCTGGGAAAGACCTGGCTGTCTGGGCCCCGAAGCTTACCTGGTTGCATGGGTACAGGGCCCTGGTCTTGGACAGAGGGACTTGAGCTTGGGCTTGGCAGGCTTTTCTCTCTGCTGGGCTGACTTCCCATCGCCTCTCAGAAGAACTCTCAGAAACACATCGTGGAGAGAATTCTGAAAGAGAGGCTGTGATGGGGACAGAACTGTGGCTCTAGGCCTGGTGCGGCACCCTCCCTCCCTGGCTCTGTCCTACTAACCTCCTTGCTGAGGCCTGCACATAATCTCCCTCCCATCAGGACCAGGCTCCAGACTGCGAAGGGTCTCTTCACTGTGGACCCTGTTTTCTCCTGTGTTACTGTGCTGCAGCCATGCGCTGTTCTGTTTCTGGGCCTTTGTGTGCGTGGTGTACCGCCCATTGGCTGGAAGGTCCCATTTCCCCTTCAGGGCTGTCTTAATCGCCCCCTGTCCCAGGAAGCTTTCTCTGAACCCCCCAGCCCTTGCTGTTCATTCAGATGGTCCACCCAGAACCATTTCCTGACCTGGGATCATATTTTGGGTGACAGGGGACAATGATAGGTCAGAGTTCACTCTAGGCATACCAGAACCCATGGCTAGGGTTACAAGTGGACAAAGGGGTCCTAGCCAGTTTGGCTCATTGGATAGATTGTCGGCCTGTGGACCAAAGGGTCCCAGGTTCGATTCCGGTCAAGGGCATGTACCTTGGTTGCAGGCTTCTCCCTGGCCTGGGGCCCTGATCGGGGTGCGTGCAGGAGGCAACCAATCGATGTGTTTCTCTCACATTGATATGTCTCTGTCTTTCCTTCTCCCTTCCACTCTCTCTAAAAAATCAATGGAAAATATCCTCAAGTGAGGAACAACAACAACAACAAAAAAGTGGACAAGGGGAATCTGGTGTCACAGCAAGCTAAGGTGATGCTGGGCAAAGATGACTAGGAGGCTGTGTGACACAGTGATGACTTGCAAGGCTTTGGAAGATTGGTGTGGAGCCATTTCCTCTCTGCCTCCACTTCCTTATCTGAAAAATGGGGATAACAATACTTAACATTTCAGAGATCACACATGTGAAAAGCCTGCTTCTACTTCATATGCCTTGAATGTCACTCACCAGAGGCTGCTCCTAAGAGCCTTCCCTTTTCTCTCTTGGCTCCCGGTTGTGTTCCTTCCTGTTTTATTCATTTATTAAAGCTTTTGTTTATTTAATATGCCATTATTCTACAGCTCAATGAAGACAGGACCTCTCCTTATTTGCCTGTTTTCTCAGCATTTTGTGAGGCTCTTGGCCCACAGAAGGTGGTCAATACATATGAACTAAATGGATGAATGTAATTATTAGTTCTTTGGACAGTGTCTTAAAAAAAAAAAAAACTGACGAGAGAGAGAGAGAGAGAGAGAGAGAGAGAGAGAGAGAGGGAGAGAGAGAGAAAAGAAACTTGTTGTTCCACCCATTTATGCATTCATTGGTTGGTGCTTGTATGTTCCCTGACGGGGGATGGAGCCTGCAACCTTGGCTTATTGGGATGAGGCTCTAACCAAATGAGCTAGCTGACCAGGGCTGGACAGTTGTCTTATCCTTAAAATAATTTAAATTCCCAGGTTTCCAGGGTGATGCTGATTTTTCTAAACACTATTTTAAAGTGTTTCAGGGAGGTGGTTTCATTCCTTTCCGTAGAGAGATGCATAATTACACTAGTTTGTGATAAAGCAGGCTCTGTCCTTACCCTTGAATCCTAACACCATGCCCGGGTGAGGACAGGTGTCTGTCACTATCATGGATTGACTTCTAGGGCCTCACAGGCCAGTCCTGTCTGGAGTAAAAATCCTGCCTTATGTGCAAGGGAATTGCCCTCAGTTCTGCCGTCTTGTGTCATCGACAGGGGCTAACAGTGCCTGTTTCTGCTGCCTCCCACTGGGCTTTCAGGATTCACGGGACAGGAGCTCCCTTTTAAAAAAAATTTTATATTTTAATTGATTTCAGAGAGGAAGAAAGAGGGAGAGAAAGAAACATCAATGATGAGAGAGAATCATTGATTGGCTGCCTCCTGCACGTCCCCCACTGGGGATCAAGCCCACAACCCGGGCATGTGCCCTTGACTAGAATCAAACCTGGAACCCCTCAGTCCGAAGGCCGACGCTCTATCCACTGAGCTAAACCAGGCAGGGTGGACAGGAGCTCTTTAATACAAAACAGGCCTAATTAGCAAGTGGCTCCTGCTGACTTTGGGATTCTGAAGCCTTGGCAGCCTAGATGGTGCTGCTGCCTCCTCAGGTCTCGACTCCTTCACTGCTAAGGCACCCCTTCAGGTCAGGTTTTCAACATTCCTGCTGCTCCCCAGCCTTTCCCCTTGAGTATGAGGTGCGGGCTCTATGCTCCACTGTGCAGAAAATCCCAGGGGAGATCTTTCCTAGGTAGCATGAGTGATTAATTCAGGCCAACCAGGCTGGAGCTGTGTGACTTTCAGAAAGAGCATGCATCCTTTCCATCTCATCTGTGAATGAGGGATAACACCGAGTCCACAGGGCTATGGGGGGAGTCGAGGACCCTGGCACAGAATGGGTGCTCAGTAAAGGTTAGTTTCCTTTCCCCTCCTTCAGCAAGAAAAGTCACCACAATCACCAACTGCACTAAACCCAGAAACTTCTTCCCGCTGCAGGTGGAGCTGGGGGATGGGCCGAAGGAAGTAGAAGTGCACTCAGACTGGAAGCCCCCAGCACCCTCTGCTAGCTCCCTTCACCTGGTGGGGCCAGGAAGCCTCCTGGGGGCAAAATGAAGACCATGGGGTTGGCCAACACTTTTAAAACAGAGGACCTAATAATTAATTTATAAGCATTTGAATAACTTACTGTGTGTTAGGCACTTCCTAGGGGACCTGGGCCAGTGGGTGGAAGGAGGTAGTAAAAAGCAGCTGAGATCAGCACAATGCCCACAATGGTTTTTATATCATCTCACTTGGTCTTTGAGAGGTCTGCATTTGAATCCCACTCAGATACAAGAACCAGGACCCACAGAGCCCGACCTCATGCTCGCTGCCACACAGCTGGTCAGTGCAGAGCTAGGCCTGCCATTCCTGCCTTTGTGTTTTTGTGCTTCAGAGGATAATTTCTCAGTGGTGGGGTACGAGTGGTGAGTTTGGATTGAGCTCAGCTTTCTCCGATGGAGCTGAGAAATATCACCTTTTTGAGAGGAACTGACGATATTAGAGTTGAAAGTGTCTTCAGAGATTATAATCCCGACTCCTCTCATTCACTGAAGTTGGAAAGCTGGGGCCCAGAGAGGGCCCCAAAGTCACACAGCAAGTTGGTAACTGAGATGGGACCAGATTAGGCATGCAGACAAGCTGGAGGGCACAATGTAATACTCCAGAGGACAAAGGTGTAGGAAGGGGGGCCTCGGTTCCTTCAGAACCCTTAGAAGTCATCCCTTATCCTCCGTAGAAACCTCCTTCTCCTTGACCTTTCCTCCAACTATAAAGCCCACTCCCAGTCGCTAAGGGGCCCATCCTTCCCCACAGGCCCAAGGCCATCGGAAAACAAAACAAGCATACTTACTGTTTTCCTGTCACCAGAGGCTTGGAATAGGGGTTTGGCCAAGACACATGCTTTGGCTGGAGAGGTTAGGGCTTTGGGGGGCCCTTCTGGAAGCCTGTCAACATCCTTAGTCCTAGGACATCCAGAACACTCTTGGCCTGGGAGAATCTTCAGGGAGAGGCCCTCGATATGGCTTTTGGTGGCTTGGTTTCTGCCTGTGGTTACCTGGGATGGACAGGAGCCTGGACTGGGTGAGCCTCCCAAGCGCAGGTGGGCCAGAGAAGAAGGCCCAGAGCTCTCTGAGCCTGTGACAGAGTCCTCGGGGCTCCTGGCTCACATCTGCAGACTCTGTGGTTCTCACAACCACCCATTTCCTCTGACGGCATCACAGACCATCAAGGAGCCACCTTCCCCAAGTTCCTGTTTCCTGGGCAGAAGCGGCTGCCTTGTCATGATCCTGGAGGGAGAGGTTGTTTTCTGTCTTTACAACTTGGTCTTGCCCAAGGAACACAAAACTGAGGCAAATGAGCAGGAGTTTCCAGGTTTATCTGATTATAATAGTCACCCGAGGGGCTTGTTAGTGTCAGAACCCTGGGATCCTCCCACATCTGAATGCAAGTCACCAGAGGAGCAGCCTAGGACTTTGAATTTTAAGCAGGTTAAGAGATCCCTTTGACTGGCAAGTCTGGAAAGCACTGCCTTGGAGTGATGTGTCCCAACCTTCAATGTGTATAGCAATCACCCAGGGATCTTGTTAAACAGCAGATTTGGGTAAGTGTGTCTGGGCTGGGTGGGGTTCAGATTATGTATTGCTAATTACTCCCAGGTGACACCCATGTTGCTGGTCTGGGGACACTTTGAGTAGCAAGACCTTTGGATAGCGCTTCTCCAAGTGTGGTCCCCAGACTAGCAGCTCAGCATCATCCAGGAATTGTTAGACACGCACATTCTTGGGCCCTATCTCAGATCTACTGAATAAGAAACTCCGTGGTGGGCCCAACAATCTTCCACAAGCCTTCCAGGTAACTCTTGATGCACACCCTCGCTTGGGAATCACTCAGCCGGGATAAAGAATCTCTGATATTATGGCCTTTGATTATTGTTACCTCCAATCATAGAAACTTAAGTAAAATTCCCAGCTTGTTAAAATCTCAATAACCAAGCCCACTTTGCAGCCTTTCCATTAGGGGGCTTAGTATTACTGCAGAGATTTTTTTGTTAAACACCAAATGACCCACTGCTCTGATATAGCTGACTCCAGCTCAGGTTCTCCATTTCCGCTAGGCAAGGTTGGTCTGACATGAACTCCGTGAGTACTTGGCATGGAGAGCTGAAGGAGCTAGAGTGGAGGTGCACTCCACTGGAGCCTAGATCCGACGCTTAGTTCTGTGACCATTTCTCATCCATAAAATGAGACTAGTGTGTATCTCACTGGGCCAATAGAAGGAAACATATAGGAAGGCGCTAAGGGCCCAGCCTGTAGTAGGCGCTCAATAAAAGGCTGAAAAAACATGAAAATACATTGATTTTGGAAGAACTAGGAACTTTTTCTAGTGAGGTGACCTTGGCAAGTCACTTAACTCCCCTTAGCAGTTCCGTCTCTGTGAGACAACCCACTGTGCCTTGCGAACTGGATAAAATGACTTGGAAAAGAGGTTTTGAAAAAAATATGTATTTTTATTGATTTCAGAGAGGAAGGGAGGAAAGAGATACTGCTTCCTGCACACCCCTCGCTGGGGATCAAGCCCACAACCCCGACATGTACCCTGACTGGGAATCAAACTGTGACCTCCAGGTTCCTAAGTCAATGCTCAACCACTGAGCCATGCCAGCTGGGCTGGAAGAGAGCTTTATACAATCATCACATACAGTATACCTGGCCCTTTCCTTACCTCTCACAAAGCAAGCATCCAAGATGTTTTTGGACTGAACAGGAAGAAAGAAAATGAAAACCAGAAGAGGAAAGAGTGCAGTTAGGGCCAGTAAGGTGCATTCAGTTAAGGCCTGACTCCAGGCACAAGGCTAAGGTGGGAAAGCAGGCAACCATCCATGCCAAGTGGGGCCAAAAAGGCTGCAGCAGTGTGGCTTTTAAGAGGAACTGTCCATCAGACCTCCGCCAGCTCTGGAACTCTGTGTTGGCCTGCAATGTCGGGAACTCAGCTCGGTGACCTGTATCTGTCCGCGTGCATTTGTTTCATCTCCTCTACCAGACTGAGCAGGGTCCGAGTCATTTTACAAGTTTCTCCCTCAGACACAGCAACCTTGCTGTACTATGGCTGTAGTGCTCCTGGATCATTCAAAACTGACCTGAGATGGTGGCCTCCTGAAATTATTCTTGGTGGGTACAAAGAGAGTCATTTCCGGAGAAATACAGCCTGGTCTGTTTGAAAAACCAAGTGGTTGTAGATTATTGCTGAGGGGCAGGACTCAGCAACCCCAGACGGCAGAGCTGAGGTACGGAACACATTTCCAAGACCTCAGCTTCTCCTCCATCACAAACCATGGTTAGACTTCTCACGATTTTTGGTTTGGATAGAGGATGTGTGAGACAGACTTGGGCTGCTGGTATGACCTTAGGCAAATTATTTATCCCAAGACTTAATTTCTTCACTGAGTGGGATAATGATCAAGTATGTGGAAATGCCCAGCACAGAGCCCATATACAGTAACTTGGTCCCTTCCTGAGCCCCAGTGAGTGGCTTGAGAGAAATAAGACCAGCAGTTGGGTAACAAGAGACATATACAGCTTTATTTAATAATCTGTAAAAAGGCGTCCTCCGGCAGAGTGGCGCATTCCCTATCTTGGCAGAAAGCGAATACTACGACGAGAAAGCCCCTTCCTAAGATTTGGAATTGTGTCGCCCTGTGTTTTCATCTCGGTGCTCTCAATAGCTGCGCCCTGGCTGTGTGGCAGCTGGTTTCACCCTCCACCCAGTGATACTCACACAGTAGTAGACTGAACACAATGTTACCTGAACAGGCTGCCCTTACAGACTGACCCCTTCCCTCCTACAAAAGAGTTCACAGAATTAAGAATCTTCCTGAGAAATGAGTCCTATCTCAACTTCACTTAGCTTCCATTAAATTTGCTGCAAAAAAGGCTATTCTTATTAAATAGGATATTATGTTAATGCCAGTTCCTCTTCCCACTGCCATTTCCTCACCACCTACATAATTTTCAGGCCATACCTCTCCCTTTTTGGAGGATGGAGAGTGTTTCTCCATCTCTCCATCACAGACCTGGAGGCATTTCTTGCAGATGTCTGGTAGTAGTAGCAGACAGTTTTGCTCCAGCAGAGTGAATGCCTGGCATTTTGTTTTCAACCTTCCTGTTCTAATAGAGTCCAATAATTAAGCCATGCCCACTCCCTGGGAACTACTCCATGTTGCACCAGAACCTCATTATTCATGGGCTTCTAACAGTACATATCCCTCCCTTTACTTACAGAATAGTGTATGAAAATTCACTTGGACAGGAGAAGGTCGCTGGGCACCCTGCCTGCTTCTCTATGTAATAGGCTCCCTTCTATTGGTCACAATCAGTCAAGAGTCCAAACAGTGATTATGATCTTCCACATTCCTCAGAGCTGCTCTCTTCAGAAGTCACCTTGCAAATCTTGTTGACCAATTTGGAACCAAAAGAGAATGTAGTAACCTACCCCATCTAGAAAGCTGTTCTGTATATTTCCCCTAAAAACACCATTGAAAATGCAAAAAAAAGTCCCTTTTTTGTTTTTTTGTTTTGCAGAAGCTCTACAAGAAAGCATGTCTAAAACCACAGATCTATGCACACACAAACACAGACACGCGTGCTCACACACATACGTCAGGATTAAAGAATCTTATCAGATATGTAGTTGGGAAAGCATGGAGAAAAGCTGGCAAGAGAAGATATGGAGATTTGATCAGTTAAAGATGTTGGAATGTTACAGTAATGGCATGGAAGTGGTTCCTGGTACATACAAAAAGGGGCGTGGGCAGGCAGAGAATGATAAATCCAGGATACCAGAGAGAAAGAGTCAGTGGCCATGCAGGAGTAAAGATAGATGCCGGTTTGCTGGATGAAATGTTATATTGTGGAGTGGTTGTTTGAGGAGGATGGACTTGCATGGTCCAGGGGAGGAGCATGTGCTTAGCAGGACACCTCCATGGTCTGGTGTCTGTCAGAACATAAGGGGACTCAGAGGATTCTTGAGTTCCATCTGACTGACTGCTGGTGACAGACCGGCTGAAGGCACTTTCTCCAGAGCCGATACTACTTGAGGTTGAGTGGGTTCGTGATCGGACGAGCCGGGTCATGCTGGCAGATGGTACTGTAAAAAAGAACCAAGAGGACTAGAAGATGGAGCCCTGGTTAAACTCAGTTAATCCAGAAGTTTCACCAAAGGCTTTATGTTTAGCTTTCCCAATCCATTTAAGGTGACACCCAGGACAAGACAAAGCCATCTTCACTTTGCATTATTTGCTCAAGGTGAGTAGCTATATGCAAGGCTGCTTTAATCCTCTAGATCTGGAATCTCAGTTGATTCTTGTCCACAGCAGAACAAGGAAAAACCTAAGTCCAGAGTATGCCTCTTAGCTATGCCCACGCCATTCATAATGAATAATTAGGGAGGAAGCTTTGGGAACCCACACAGGTAACCAAAACCTGCAGTGCATGCAAGAATAAACCAAAAAGAAAGACAAACCACACAAGTATGAAGGTGTTTCACAAACACAGTGCAAGCCCGATACAACAAGACTACCATCCATGTCTACAGGCTACCCTTGCTACTGGGGAGGAGACATGCCTGAAGCTGGTGGCTGCCAGAGCAGGAAGGACTCTGAGGGTGGGTGTCTAACTCAGATTCCTGTTTTGCCACTGCTTTGAGCCTAAGGTCCTCCACTTGGCCAGAACAGGGCCTTACCTGGCATAACCTCTCTGCCTATCTTCCCGAAGCACCAGCCATTCCCCCTCCTGTTACTTCAAATGCTGGGGTCAAAAGATGCCATCACCTGCAGAAATTTCTAGGCACAGGTTCTGATGGTCCTATTTAGAATCAAGGCAGCCCTTTGATTCTTGTGTCTGGGAGTTAATGCAAGGTTCAGTAGGTAATGGGGGAAGAGGGGCCCTGCCTATAAAGTTTCAGTGCTCCTGTAACTCAACTTAGGATGATGAGATGAAGCGCTATTACTAGTATAATCCACTCCTTTCTTCCTTTCTGGTGGCCCAGGGCTAGACCTGCAGGCTAACACTCTTGGGGCACAATGAGCCACGTTCTATCAGGCTCTCACTGCACAGGAAAACTGCGGACATGCTGCAGGCAGCCAATGCAGCCAGGAGAGCATGGCTGGGAGGCGGGAGCAGGGCCAGCACAGAGGAAGGTACCTGACTCGGTGCTCAGGTGACTGAGCTGCACATACGGGACTGGAAGCAGGTGGACACAGGAAAAGGCAGGTTAGTGACCCGAGAGTGCC